TGTACTCTCTTTTCAAGTCCGTCTGTGACCTGAGGTGCAATTTCAACCTGGCCTCAATTCCTTTTTTGTAAAGGAGGATGAGAACCACCAAAACAAATTAATAATATGAGGTTACTGGGTCTGATGGGTTGCTATCTGATACATCTTAAATCTGGAGGATAACTGTCACAGAATTACTTTCAGTGTTTAGGAAGAGGTAGGTCAGGGAAAAGGAAGATGTGAAGAAGAGGAGAATTAAATAGAGGCCTTTGTAAAATAGATGCTACCTCCACCTTTTCATTTGATCAAAAGAAATGGTCTCCCTGAAAATACAGAGGTTTGCGAGCGCCCCCGTGCGGTGGGTTATCTGAACACCATTCCTAGTATTGGTTGCAGTTCTGGTAGAAACAGACCGAATTATTTGGGGGAGAAAAACAGAATTTTAAAGAAAGTGGCTATATTCCACTTGAGTTTTTGAGTTCTCTTAGGAAATTCTAAATTATTCACATTAAGGTCCTTAAATATTTTCATAATGCATTTAAATTAACAGCTCTGTTTGGTGTTTTTAAACGCTTGGTGCTTAATTCAGCAAGTTCATAGATCACCAAAAAACCAGAGTCTATGAGATTTCAAAAGATGGTCAGACTGCAGACATTCAGAAGAACAAAGTCAATTATTACTCTTGACTTACTACAATTATACACCCTGTAATTAGGAACTAGAAGAAATTAACAGAGAAAAAGTAAAAGCCATTAATTTATCTCTTTCTTGCCTATATCAGTTACCTGTTAGCAAATACAGTTATTAGTATTATACTATGAAACAATATTTAGCTACATTTCTAACACTTATGATTTAGGGAACATTAACACCTTGATCCCACGTGGAGACGTCCAAGCACTCAGTACTGAAAGTGGAGAAAACAGCCCTGCCAAATGAAACCACCTGAGGTCTATATAGTAAGACTTAACGGATTTTTAAGACTGTGCAGTAACAAATGATACTAGATCCGTGTAGATGGTTACACCGATTATGCAGTTACAAACTAAATGTATCAGAGTACTCCAATTGTGTTAAAAATAAGGCCCCAATTGTCCACTGAAATTAAACTTTTACCTGAAACCTTAGTGAGTTAATAACTGAATATTGGAAATCATGCAACTAATCTAAACCAACATCCCTGGTGACATGAAGGGGTTATTCTTGGAGAAAAAAATATTTTTTTAAAACATCTTCTATTGTTTTATCTGAAAAGCTATATTCCCACACTTTCCCATGTTTAAAATTAGGCAGTAACAACTATTTCCTGGAAGATCAAAGTAGGGGTCTTTGGTACAAACTACTGACAATGAAAAGGAATGATAAAGGGGACCAGTTTGAGGTTTGTTTTCAAATCAATATAACCTTGGGTTTAAAGGATCAGTTTATGTAACAGGTCACATGCATTTTCCTAAACTGATCAGATTCTGAACTTCTAAAGAAAAATATATTTTAAAGATTACTTACTATTTATTTATTGGTTGGTGGAGGTAACTAGGTTTATTTATTCATTTTAGTGGAGGCACTGGGGATAGAACCCAGG